ACAACAAACTTGCTCTTTCATTGTCGATAGTAGATCAAGCTCTAATTGTTGTAGCATAGTGATTTTTGCTAAGTTAGCCCTCATTACAATTCCTCATCCAAAACCTTACAAACTTATATAGTTCAATTAAAAAAATGATATAGAAGTTAATCAACAAGTAAAGACAAAATTTTCTTTTGGGAATTATAATGACAAAGTTTTATGTGATGTAGTTCCCATGGAAGCTTGATATATTTTGTTAGGAAGGCCATGACAATTTGATAGAAAATCCATGAACAATGGCCTTACTAATGAAATATCCCCCACCCACAAATATAAGAAATTTGTATTACATCCTTTTAATCATTTTCAAGTGGTAGAGGATCAAATGCAAATGGAACTTATGAGGGAAAAAAATATGGAGAAAAAAGAAAAACAACTCTTAAAAGGTGAAAAGAATGAAGAGAAAGAATATTTTTCTTCTAAGGAGATTGTTAAGAAAGATAATCACTTTGCTATTAAAAGTGAAATCAAGAGAACTATCTATCTTGAACACTTCATTGTTTATCCGCTTAATGAGTTGGCGAAGAATATTCTTCCTTCCTTTTGGGATGGAAAACTTGAGTAGACTTTTCAACCCTCACAAGATGAGCTCTCCAATACATAGCTTTAGTTCTTCCTACTATTTCTAAAACTTTTGAGCTAGAATATTTTGCGTGTGGATTAGGTGTGGGAGTTGTTTTGTTGAAGGGTGGACATCTTATCGTTTCTTTAAAGATAACTCATTATGGTGCCACTCTCAACTGCCCCAACTATTACATAGAGTTCCATGTTCTTTTCCAAGCTTTCCAATCTTGGGGACAATCCTTTGTTCCTAAGAAGTTTCTTAATCATAGTGGTTTTAGATCACCTCACATTTCAGGAAGACAAGAAATTCAATTATAGATAATGTATTTTTTAAGAGCCTAAGTGATCATATAGGACACCTGAGGCAAGCCTTTTTAGAAGTTAGTAACAAACCTTTTTCAGAAAAACTCAAAAAATATAGTTTAGATAGGATAAAAAAGGTTTAAGAGAACCCCAAGAAAATAAGAATCATTAAGGAAAGGTCAATTTGACACTTAGAGAGGATAAATAGGCTAATCTCTTTGATCAAGAAAACAACACTAGTAATGCTTACATTTTACTTTCTTATACAGTTATTAAAGATGAAGAATGTACTTGTGATTTGAGGATAAATCCTCTTAAAGAGAGAGGGGACGATGACATCATATCAAGCGGCCAAGTTCAAAAGGAGGCAAAAGGAGTGGGCTAGATTAAAAAAAGAAGGCCTAAACTTTTATTGATTTTTGGGTCACTTTAGTAATTTACTTTCTCTTCTTTGTGTATATTTTTCACTGTAAATGTTCTCTTATTTTTGAACTGGTAATTTTCGGTCAATTAGTGTAGGAATTCTTTGTAATTTTTATTTTTATGGGTGTAAATAGTCTTTTAGGGGGGTGTAACTAGAAATTGAGATATGAACTTTATGGGTTTTAATGGCCCATAAGAGCACATTTCCCATGTGGTTGGACATCCACTTGGGAGGGCAAGGTGTTTCATGGTCATTCAAACTCCAACAAAGTCACATGGTCTGTCTAGTCATACTTTTGACATTTTGCCATGTGGCAATTCCCCATTGACTCTTCTAGAATGTTGACATAAGTCACACTTCTTGCACTTTGTCATGTGACAAGCTTTTGTTAACTCTTTTAGATTTAGGATAATGACATTTTTAGAAAGGAAATCAAATTTTCAAATTGTAACTTGAGTTAGTTGTCTTGAGTACAAATTAATCTAACCTAGATTACATGTAATCATGGTTAGCTTAACTTGCACCAAAAACTATCAAACTTTATATATAGGTACCTCCTTGTACATACGTGTAATTTTTTGAGTTGTAAAGAAATAAAATTTAGATTTCTTTTTCAAAAGCTTCTAGTTCTCTCTTTGGATACACTACTCCTTATGAACTTTTATCAAAGAATTTCTCCTTTTGGCAAATTCTTAACCTCTTGCTTATCTTCTCCTACAAGTGGCATATCATCTTCCCTTTTTCTCCACCATTTTTGTTTTGATTACAAGCTATGAGTCCATTGATGAAGATTGGGAGCTTCAATAATGGAGCTAGTTGAAGAGAAATACCAAGCCTATCTTCCACTATTTTCATCAAGACTTTTGGTGGAATTAGATTGAAGATCGAACTTTCCTAACTCCAGAACTTATCTCTCTAAAACTTCTCTCTAGAGTTCAGAGAAATGAAATTATTAGGTTCAAATTCTTTGAAACTATATATACATTATTTTGTTCTCAATTAACTTTGACTTCAACACAAACAACATAACTCTAAACATCTTAACTCATAATAATTTCTTAATCTTTAGAGCTTTAAAACAACACATAAAACATGAAAACTTAAACCACACAAAACAAAATAAAACATTATACAACATGCAACATACACTTAGCATACAACATAATGTTACATATATAATTACTTTATTTATATAAAAAATGAATATATTATTTAATTAAGTTGTTGAATTGAAAATAACTATAATTATCTATTTCAAAATATTATTTTTACTTTAATTATCTTGATCATTTTTATTATTTTTTATTTTGTTAGTTATATTAGTACTAAACTAACTGGAGTTAGTGATAAGGACAAAAAATATCAATAAGAAAATGACAATGATTTAAAAATAACAATTTTTTTTGCAATGATTTAAACAAGACCAAACGATATTTGCAAGAAATTAAAATATATTTACGCTATTTAATTAATAATATGCAAATAAATCATTTCATTGCTAATAAAATTAAAATTAAGATATAAAACATAATCATTTTAATTATTAAAAACATTAAAAAATATATTAAATATTTTAATAATAATTTGTTAATATCCTATTAGATTATAATTGTAACAAAGAAATTCTTTTATTATATCCAACGTTGATTGAATAAATTTTAATAGTGAAACTAAGAATCTTGATTTGATTGGATAACTTATCAAAAAGTAAAAACAAAATTTATTAACTTTATTTAGTACCGGTAGGATTGAAACACTTCTTACCTCTATGTGTTTTGTTTGACTAAAAGATAAAATATAAAATAAAAAAATAAAAGATAAATGAAAAATAACCAAAAGTATAAAGATATAATGTTAAGACAAAAAAGTAATTACTTGCGACAAAAATTTGTATTATTTTTTTATCAGAAAGAATCATGTTGAAATTTGAGTTAAAGTTTTTTTTGAAATTAAAAAAATAGAATAAACAGAAGAAATGACTTTAACATTACTAAAATTTCTTTTATTACACGCGACTTTTCCTGCGAATTTTTCATAAAAATTCGCAGAAAATGTTGTTCTTACAAATTTTTCTGCGAAATTTTATCTGCAGGTAATACCTTCGTGGATAATATATTTTTGCGAATTTTAAAATTCGCAAGAAATTTTCTTGTGAAAAAAATTCGCAGGAAAGTTTCCTGCAAAAAAAAATTTGCAAGAAAGTTTCCTATGAATTTTTCACAAGAAATTCTACAGGGATATTTTTTACGAAAAAAATTAAAGAAATTACTATAAATTCTATCAATAATTCTTCAACTCTCAAATGGTCACAATGAATACATTTGAAGCATTTGTTTCCATGCCTCTAACATGTGGTACATAATCTTTTAAATTCTAATATTGTAGATTATAAGTCTAACACTCAACCATACAAATCAACTTGTAAGGTAAGTGTTGCCCCAACTTATATACTCCTTAATTGTTTTATTTTCAATCGATATGGGACTTGAAGTTTTTTTTAAATATTAAACTTATAAATTTAAATATTTTTTTATTTTTCCTGCGGATTAAAATTGGCAGGAAAATTTACAGGAAAAGTTACATGCAAAATTTTCTACCATTTAATAAACATTACTTGCGAATTTATTTTTACAAGAAAATCTGCAAGAAATAAAATAAAATTCTTACAATATTTTCTGCAAATTTTTTCCATGGGAAAAAAATTCTATGATCATTAAAATTGTAGCAAAATTTGCAAAAATTTCTTGTAAATTATTTTTCGTAAAAAAATTTGTAAGAAATATCTGTAAATTATTTTTCACAAATAAATTTATAAAAAAAATTGCGAAATTATTATTGCAAGAAAATTCGCAAAAAAATTTTGCGAATATTTTTTTGTAGAAAAATTCGCAAGAAAATGACACTTTTCTAGTAGTATAATACTGGTGCGTAAAAAGTGAAAACCAAAATTATGTATCCTTTTTAATATATTGTTGTACATAAAATTTTGTAAGATATCTATCACAAAATAAGAAAGACATACATAATATAAATATAATATTAAAATTAATTATTATTTTTATGTATAAATTAGCTATTATTTAAAAAATATTATTTCGAAAGATGAACAATTTCCGTAATAGTGGATGTCATATATCTCTCATTACGTAACTCATTTTTCATTCTTGTTATACGTTGTTTGGATAACCACAAAATAAAATATTTCGAAATGAAAATAGATGCATGAGATGTGAGCTAGAGGCAATTATCTTGTGCGTAAAGTAAGAGAACGAGGTCGGGAAGATACATAACATTAGTTCATAAAATATGAACATGTTGTGTGCTTCATACTAACTTCCAAGTGCTAACTATATATGTTTACAAGTTGCAACACAAGGACTAAAAATTTCACACTTTTGAGTGCTTTCTGTAGTATCAAGCAATCATTTACGTATTAGTAGTTTGTCTTTTCTTTATACAATATTACTCTCCATTCTTGCATGTCTCAATTATTAGTAGACACATGCGTGGTTTTCCTAACTAGTAGACAAAACTATGTGTTTCCTATTACATTTCCAAATTTCCAAATTTTACTCTCAAATATTTTAATTCCACAATCACAACTCCATTTTCCTAACTATAAATTCCCTAAAAAACTAACATCCACACCACAAACAACTTCCGATTCCTCCTTTCACTTTTTGAGTTTTTTTTTTCTTTCTTAAAATTATTGCATTCCCTTCATAGTCCCTTAGTACTATAATGACACAAATAGTTTTAAATGCTGTAGTATATTTTCTTCTATTCACGCTTACATCGGTTATAATCGAGGGGGTAACTTTAAATGTTGTCGATTTTGGGGCAAAACCTGATGGTGAAACTGACTCCACAAATGCATTACTGAGTGCATGGGGTAGAGCATGCAGCTCAACATCACCAACCACCATTTTTGTGCCCTTAGGAAGGTTCTTAGTTGGTAAGGTAGTTTTCAAGGGGAGGTGCAACAACAAGGGCATCACAATACACATTGATGGTGCACTAGTTGCACCTTCCAAATATGATGTTATTGGAAACGCTGAAAATTGGTTGTTTTTTGATGATGTTGATGGTGTTTCGGTGATTGGTGGTGTTCTTGATGGCCAAGGCACAGACTTGTGGGCATGTAAGAGGTCTGCCAAGTCTTGCCCAATTGGTGCTACGGTATGCTTCGTGTCTTAGCAACTCACTTTCTAACAATATCTTTTAAACACTCTCTTTGTTGTTGGTCAAAGTTTATTGAACATAATTTTAACAATTCTTTCTGGTGTACATAATATTACAGAACATGGGATTTACCAATTCAAACAACATAGTTATCAACGGAGTGACCTCTTTGAATAGCCAAATGTTCCATATAGTTATTGACCGATGTGATAGTGTGAAAATACAAGGTGTTAAGATATTTGCTGCAGGAAACAGTCCTAACACTGATGGCATTCATGTTCAACTCTCATCAAGTGTAAACATTCTTAACTCAAATATAGCAACCGGTGATGATTGCATTTCAATTGGACCTGGAACTACTAATTTGTGGATACAAAACATAGCTTGCGGACCAGGTCATGGAATAAGGTAATCATATTTGTATATTCATATATAAATAGATTCACAAGACATTTTTAATGAATTTATGAGATATACTAGATGATAACATTCCCACTTTGTAATTAGGTCCTACATAAATTTTAGTCAATAATAACATGTTAAAATTTCTAGATAGTATATTTTAGCTTTTATTTATTTATATGCATGTCTATAACATTGGTTGGATTTGCATATGGCAGTGTTGGAAGTTTAGGCAAAGAATTTCAAGAGGCTGGCGTGCAAAATGTGACAGTTAAAACAGTCACATTTACTGGAACAGAAAATGGTGTACGAATTAAGTCTTGGGGGAGACCTAGCAATGGGTATGCAAGGAAGATCCTTTTCCAACATGTTACCATGGTTAATGTCCAAAATCCCATTGTGATCGACCAAAATTATTGTCCCAATGAGAAAAATTGTCCGAGTCAGGTGAGCTTCTCAATTAAGAAAAATTTAATCTTCTATGAATTTTTTATATTACCTTAGTTAAAGCTTATGAAAAAAGAAAAAAAAAAAAGGAATTAACATAAAACTTGTATAAAATGAGAAATTTATTTTTAACATGAGAACTTTTGTTTCCAAAAATGTTCAACGTAGGCTAATTATATTTTTTTTTTCTTTTGACAAATTAACAACTAGGTTTCCGGGGTTGAAATTAGCAACGTTATATACCAAGATATTCATGGAACCTCAACAACAGCAATTGCAGTCAAAATGAATTGTAGTCCAAAGAATCCATGCACTGGAATAAGATTGGAAGATGTGATGCTTACATATGAAAGCAAACAAGTCGTAGCTTCATGCAATCACGCTGGAGGAATCACATCTGGTGTAGTTCAGCCCAACAACTGTTTCTAGCATTGTTAAGGCCATCAATAAAACATTGATATAATAACAAATCTCCAATATTGTATGCAAGTTAGGTGATACAAAACTTTGATGTAGTAACCAATACAAAATGCAAGTTAGTTGAAGAGCACAATTTTCTTTAAATGTCAATGTTATCCATTTTTTTTTTGGTTTTGCTTTTGAGTTTCCTATTTATATTTCTGAGTTAATGAACAATTATTTTCTTCCTTATTGTTCTTAATGAAAACAAATCTGCGTACACAAAAGACTTTATTACATAATGCCACTACAGAGAATTACATGTTAACCTACATTTGCCAACAATACTAGATCATAATCTACTTTCTTTAGAACTACCACAATCAAAATGATGATTGCAATAGCCATACTAAAAGGCTTAAATATTCTACACAAAAACAGAACAAGAACTTAAATTATATATATTCAGTCACGAGCTACAACTAGCACTTGCTTACCAAAATTACGACCACTATAGAGGCCAACTAAGGCTCCAGGACCATTTTCAAGGCCCTCATCTATGTCTTCCACATACATAATCTTCCCTTCTTTGATATGAGGCAATATAAAATCCAAAAATTTGGGATATAGGTGATAGAAATCGCCAACAGTAAAGCCTTGCATACAAACCCTCTTAAATATGATATTTGCCAAATTTGTTACACCTTCAGGTTGTGTAAGATTATACTGTGATATCATTCCACAAACGGGTATACGTCCATGAACTTTCATATTCAGGAGTACCGCATCAAGTGTCTTGCCCCCAACATTCTCAAAGTAAATGTCAATGCCTTCTGGAAAGTATCTATTGTATAAATTGAAATGCATAGTCAATATATTGTATGGTAAAATTTAATGAAAATTTATCTATCGCAATACTATTAAATACGGACCTTTTGAAAGTTGCATTGAGGTCTGACTCTTCTTTGTAGTTAAAGGCTTCATCAAATCCTAACTTATTCTTCAAAAGATCCACCTATTTTGGAAAAAAAACACATTCAAAGTTTTTGTTGGTTAGCAAATATATACTATAAGGAGTTTAGGTCTTGCTAATTAGACTATTATTACTAGTGTATGAAGCAAATCTCTTAATAAAAGTTCAAAGTATATTTTTGAGGTAAAGAAGAGGGACAAGGGTTGAATTGGATATTGTGACTGTTAGAATAGTGGATTAAGCCTAGAGATTAGGCAATTGAATAGTATATAAGTGGAAAGCAACCCTCACCTTACAAGCCGGTTTTGTAGGGTTGAGTTAGGCTTAATCTACTATTCTAACAGTGACAATTGTAATCAAACTTTAGCAGAGAAATTCCAAAATTATGTATCTCAGTTTTCACTAACAAAGAATTTACAATAAACAAATAATATTATCTAAGCTAGATAATAGGCAAAATATTTAGGCTAATTCAAAATAGTAGTATCTTATATAGAAGAATAAAATGAAAAGGTTGAAGCTAATTTATCTTTCATGCAAACATATATAATGAAAATTATTAGAATATACCTTCTCTTTACTTCCAGCACTTCCAACCACATAACAACCAGTCAATTTTGCAAATTGACCAACAAGTTGTCCAACTGCACCTGAGGCAGCTGAAACAAAAACATTCTCTCCTTTCTTCGGAGAGCCTAATTCAAAAAATCCAGCATAAGCAGTCATTCCTGGCATACCTGTGATCAAGGAAGAAACTAACATGGGTCATAAGGCACAATAACAAGTGAGAAAATAATGCAACTAGCATCCATATAAGCTTGTTTGCATTCTTGCTAAGATTCTTTTTTGAAAATGTATATTATATACTAATCAATAACAAACACAAACAATATAAACCGAGGCTTGCATATCATATTGACATCAGGTGCATGATTCAGTATGAATCAACATAAGTTTGATGAATACATACCAAGAATACCAGTATAATATGAGAGTGGGACATCAGTGTGCTCAATCTTGAAAAGTACAGTTGGAGTTACCAAACTGTATTCTTCCCATTTCGTAAATCCCCACACTAAATCACCTTTCTTATAATTTGGGTGTCCAGATTCTAGGATTTTGACACCCCGTACCCTGTTAATGGCTGCATATACATAACAATTAATAATTACACAATTTTTTGATTCAAATATGTATTTTCAAAAGTAAACTACAAATATTGTTAATATTAAAGTGTGTCTTTTATTAAAGTTTATACATTGGAACCATGACATACATAGCAGTATGATATTATGGACTATTTCCTCATTGAATAATGGGATTCTGATTGCTGAACTATTTTCCCAAAAGAAGAAAAGGGTCATTAAACTTTTAGTGATTGTACGATTTTGGTTTTAGTGTTTATACTGCATCATCTTATATCATGTTGACAATGTTTATGAGTAAATAACTATTATTTTTGACAGCTTTGAATAAATAAAAAAAAGGATATCTTTCCATTCTTCATAAGAAAGTAGATTTTGACCTAATATACACCCCTCATGTCCTAGATAACACCTTTCAAACCGGGTATTAAACATCTCGAGTGTGAATCTATTACCATCTTATAAATATGAGTTATTAGACCTATTAGACCACCACTATCGGACTGATGTTAGATCATCTAAAGATGTTCAGGATCTCAAACTATATGTTTGAGAAGTGTAGTCTTTGGTGTGAAAAAGATGTGTTAGAGAACTTCTTTGGCTAGTGATAATTTCAGAATAAAATATACATACGAGACAATTCTCACTTAATAAATCAATTTTGTAAATTAAGTCGGTTAAAATTCATTTAAGTAAATTAATGACTCCAACATTGAATGAAATTAGGATAAGTGACCCATGGTAAACAGGTGAAATTATGAGGAACCCAATTAACTGAAATGGATGAAATTATGTCTAAATGAAAGTTAACAACGAAAGTTTGTATAAATTTTTTATCCAACAAAAAATTAATCCAAAGTTACTTCAATTCAAAATCTTCTATTCAAAACCAATTCTTCAAGGTAGGACCAAACATCTCAACATTTATCTAAAATTATATTATCAATATCAGAATGAATTCCAAAAACTGCAACATAAAAAAATGTGAATGGACTTTAAAGTGAGAAAAGTTGGATGACTTACAGAGCCAGGTGTATAGGTTTGAAATCCCTCGGGGCCCATCTTTCTCATGAGGGCTACCATGTAAGGATCACATGATAGGTAGAGATTTTTGAGGAGCACTTCATTGGAACCTTCTGGTAGCTTCAATGTTATGGTTCCTTCAACGACATTCATGTCTGATTCCTTAGGAAAACCACTCACATAGTCCCTTAGAATCACTTGTTTGTTCCTCACTTGCGTCATCGTAACTCGTAGCCTCCTGTTTCAGCGTGATAATGCTTTGTATTGGGTTCTTTTTCAATTCCCAAAAATGGGATACATTTATAGTGAGTCCTCGGAAGTGTGAAACTGGGAAAATGAAATGGCTAATGTGTCATCACTGCCCACGTAATTAGCAACCATCAAATGTTGTACAATGTAAGCCGCACAAAATTACGGCTTCCGTGTTTGAGTTAACAAATGCTTCTTTATGAGGAGAAAAAATATTTGCTTTTATAAACTAAAATTAATTTATGTATCTTAAATTTTAGAAAAGATAAATGTTTTTTTATACAAACTTTTTATTGTAATTTTTTTCATCGTTAAATGACATTTAAATAAAAAGTTATAAGAGATTTATTTTTTATTTTTAAAATTTAGAAAAAAATAAAATTCTTCTTTTGAAAAATCACACTAATCCTTACTTTTCAGTATGGCCACATCATGAATGACGAGTGTGTAAGCTATAACTTATCATTTTGCCACGCTTTGAATGTGAAAGCTCTAACATGTTCTCATGTAATGCTTGTGGACTACATTTTGTCCGAATTTTCCAGATTCCGGTGGAACAATTAAGAGTAATTAAGTGGATGTAATTATGGTATCCTTATAAATCGAGGTATTTTAGTATAATTTTTTTTTGTTATTGTGTTACGTATTTATATTTATATGATTTTTTCTCTTTACATGTAAATCACATTTTATATCATATTATTTATTTAATAAAAGTGTAGAAATACAATTTAAGGATCTATAAGATATGGAGTGAAAAAATATTTATATAATATTACTTTTGATATAAAAAAAAAGGTAAGAGGTCTAATTTTTGTTTTATTTGTTTATTAATTTTAAATGTTCATAATACTTCTAAATGTTAAGTCAGACGAAGAACATTGACAATTCTTATCGAGGTTTTGAATATGACAAATATAATACATGTTGTTATTCCTAACATGTGCATTAGTGTTTCAGATGGATAACAATAAGTTCAGGCAAAAATGAAGGACAAAGTATGATCAAGCATAATCGAATTGAACAAGACATCAAACGATAGCAAAGCTAGTATCAAGACTAAGGTTGATCAAGGCTCAAATCAAATACAAGATAAGACGAATCTATCAGTTGAAGCCTGAGGGATCAGATGAAATACCAAAATAGGCATCATAGGAGACTAAGTCAAGAACGGGAAGAAAGTTGGCCAAACATCAACATAGAATTGCAAAATCATCAGATAGAGAACAAGCAGACGAAGTCATCACTCTCATAACCAGACGTAAAGGGTAGTCATGACCAGACGAAGAATCAAAACTAAAATGTGTATCCAGACGCAGTCAGAAAATAATGAAGCACGTTTGAAGTCCACTAATCACATTGAGTGAAATCATACAAGAAACACAAAAAGGACATCCAACCTGAATAAAAAAAGAAGAAAAATAGGCAAGCGTGGATTCACAAGTCAAAGCAGCGTGCGTTAGAGAAAGGACACCTACTTTTCAAAAAAAGACAGCACCTCAACAGCTAAACTGATGAGAAAAGTACAAATATGCCTAGATCATGATTGAAGTCAGACATTGAAGTAATCAACTACACAGAAGGACTTCATGAATACAAGAAAATATTTAATGCAAGATCAAATGCATTAAATGAAAAGATTTACATAGCTATGAACAACCCTCCATCTGCAACGACATGAAGCTACGCTCCAACGGGAAAATTTAAATTCAAACAACGGGCAGATTTACCAATTGGCTATAAGTATCAAGGCAAAGAAGAAAAAGAAAAAAGAGAACTGAGAAGTAGAGAAATCGTGCAATAAGAAAAAGAAAGCGAAAGAGCATAAGCTACATTTCTTCTCAAAGCATTTCC